AGGATCACTGAAGCTTATTCCGCATCCAACGGAATTTAGAACTAATTTATTAAACATGAGGGATCCCGTCGTTACAAGGACGAGGTTTCATGTTTAATTGCACAACGTAATTTCACTCGCTTAATCTATGACGACATTGATTCATCATACTCTGTCTCGCGTTGTACAGAACTTGTGCATTCACTGATATCTGTTTTTAGTGCCAATATTACATCATAGTATCGGTATTATTTATTTTCTTTCATTTTTGTATAAATTTTAGTTTTGTTTTGTGCGAGAGTTAGTCATTATTTTTGTCTACTGAACTTTTCCGCGATTTTTTGATAAATAAATAAATTAATTAATTTAAAAAATATCGATTCTAACAAATATTTACAACAATTTGATTTGTAGCATTTTTAACATGCAAATCGAATGTAGAAAAAATGCGATATTAAAACAGTATAAAGCAACATAAAGTAGCAAAACGTAAATAACAGAAATGTGAACGGCGTGTAAGAAATTCTGTTGCACATACATATGCGCAATTAATCTTTTTGCTATAAAAAAGCATCTATTGCTGAACACGTTAGATTTTATACTTTTTATTTACTTGACGCTTTAATATTATGCGTACAGAAAATAAATGTTTTTCCAAGAAAGCAAGTTACTCGCGATCGCTGTGAGACTATATGCACGGCTGTCTCGCTTAAGTTTCTGTGACGGATTGATTTCTATAAACAAAAAATAATATACGGAAAACTTGTAAGAAACAAAGATGAGTTAAAAAAAAAAGTTAATAACAATATGGAAGCGAAAAGGTACAAAGTGCGAGAAATTCGTAATGCGCACACATACGCAAATGCGGAAACTTCGCCGCGGACTGACTGTTCGCTTTAATAATTCATGCGCGCCGTGCGGATATATATATGAAAAGAGGAACAGAGAAAAGTTTTACGTTCAAAGTTTCGCCGGAATTCAGTCACCGACAAGTAGCCCTCTCTCTCTCTCTTTTTTTTCTCCACGTGCCGCGGTGAAACTTTGTAATAAAAAACTTAGACGCGACACGTACGCGACGTGCTTTTACGCGTAATTTCTGCTTTATCCACTTCGGAACCGCTCGCGGAGTCTTTCATTAAAAGTTTAATATTCAACGAATGTGTTCGATGAGCGGTTGTAGAGAGAGAGAGAGAGAGAGAGAGAGAGAGAGAGAGAGAGAGAGAGAGAGAGAGAGAGAGAGAGACGCCGCGTAGATGAACATTCAGAATTTCGCATATCTCTCCGCGTAGCACCTCCGTTTTTTCGAACAGCGAAAAACTTCTCTCATTTGCTGTTGTTCGCGCTAAAAAATCTTATCAATAAAATTTTTAACGAAAAAAGAAGATTGTACGCCGCGTAAATGTATACGTTTGCAAATGCTGCGTTACCGACCGCTTGAGCTTCATACAGTCTGAAAGATATTTCAACAGAGAGCAGTATGATTCGTGATGCGGGTTTAAACGAACTGATAGCTCCTTACGCGCGCGCGCACGCGCACACACACGCGTACGATCGTCACGTCTTTTTATCTATAATCCTTATCATTTTTATAATGGTACATCTTATATAATTATTTCTCTTATTTCAACAATTTTATATTAAAAAAAATCAAATATTACAATGTAGAAATTGAAAAAAATAAAACATCAAATAAACTCAATTTATTTAAACGCAATTTAAAGTAAACTCAATTTATTTAAACGCAAAATTGATTTAATGTTTTATGAAATAATATTTGACAATGTCACAAGTGGTTTTTTAATGAGCGTGTACCGCGTGCTGTGTCTCTTTTACGATTCGTTCCCGGCGAGGTCGCGGACTCTGATCTCGATTTCTAAAGCGTTATTTGGAAAACTACTCGCGACCTTGAATAAAAAAATAGAAAATATTTGTGTCGAATGTGTCGCATAAACTAACACATTAATATATGTTACATTTTTCGAAAGACTATCGTTAAATTTTTTACACAAATAAGGCGAGATCTTTCCCTATAAATAAAAAATACACGCGATAAAATTTCCTTCCGTTTTGCGGACGATATAACCGCGTTAAGCTCTTTATTGCTAATTATAGCCTGAAGTCTAACTTTATTAATTTAATAATAGATTTACATTTTTTTTAAACAAAATGATAAAAAATTAACATAAAAAATTTAAGCATCTTATTCTCTGAGAAGAAAAATCTTTCTAAACTATTACCGTCACTGCTGCTCGCTTTAACGGGATAATTCGGGACCTCTCTCGAGGTTTTTATGGCGGTAATCCGTTTGCGCGAGAAATTACAGTGAGTGGTCGCAAAATCTTTACAAAGTCTGCGTTCGATAATACGGTACTTTTTTGTCGAGGTGAAAGTAATTTTACGCGAGCGGTCAAGGTCCTTCTAAGATTTGAAGTTTGCAAAAATCAATTTGCTTCAATGATGTTTGTCTGACTTCATTTTACGCACGGGGAGTTTCAAACCCCGAAGAGCAATTCTCATCTTATCAATCTTTCCACCTACGTGACAGAAACGCGAAACGTCCATCCCGCGTAGGAAGTTTTGTTCGTCACAACGCGGATTTTCTCTACTCCTACGTGCTCTCCCCATACGTCATCGGATTGCTTCGCGCGCGTTCTCTCTCTCTCTCTCTCTCTCTCGTCTGTCATTTCGCCAGACGTTCTTCAATTCTCGGTTTTACCGTACACTGTTTTCTATGTGTATTATATAGGAAGGTTTGCGGCCACATTACGTCAAGCGCTATATTTATATTCGCCGGGCCGTCTGGTTCCGCGACTTCGTTTGTTCACACATCTCAACGATGACATATTCGACGAGAGAGAGTTAGATGTATATATTATGTATACATGTACGCGCGCGTAAATCAACCTGTTCGAGAAATCGCGACCCCGAAACGAAAAGTTCGGAGTTGATAGAATTATTAACTCGAACGCAGACACAAACAGATCCGTTTTGCAACAACGCGATCCACACACACAATTGACCTTTGGAACTCGCTCGGCTAAAGTAAGCTTCGAAGTCTCACCCACGCGAAGATCGACTTCAGCTTTTGAACGATGATTCGGTCCGTTCGAATTTGGATCTCGTAAACAACAGGTCGGGTTTAAAAAAGAGTCGCTTGCAAGCGGAAGTTTTTTCAAGTTTGTTATAAACAACGTGTATCTGTGTCGCAGATTACCGAGACGGCGTCTCAAAAAGCGTCTCGACGCGGCAACGAGTCACGTTATCTTCCCACCTTGCGAAGGTTCTCGGGGGGATTTTTATTCATTTTTTCGTCACAGAGTTTTGAAGTCAAGTCGAACTCTGTATCTTTTTATTCGCATTTGCACGGTGTTTAATTATCGTTTGCGAATTTTTCGACGGGATGTTCGAACGGGATATTTTAAGTGCGAGGTGTAGCGCGCAGTAGCACCGACCGAAATAGTGTAACGTCTTGTTTTCAAACACATCTAGTGTGTGCGCGAGACCAGCCCCCGGGTTTGTATTCCGTTTGTTGCTGCACCTCCCGGGGTGCGTATGTGATGCACGCACGTAAAAAGCCGCGAACACCTCAGACGAAGATATATACCCAAGTTCCGCGAAAATATCGTGTCCGATTGATCGATCAGAGAGATTTCGGAGAAACGCGTCGATCGAGTTACTCAATCGTAGAAATCTACGAAATCGTCGGAGACTCTCGTGCACGCACGAATGACGTGGCACGGGGATATTATGCGCCAGATACATCGGTTTCGACGAATCTCGACGACGTCATTTCCCATTTGTGTGCGTGCGCGAGGAACGCGCTCAATTGAATTCGCGTTTCCTTTTATTATCGCAAACGGCGCGTTGCAAAAATAGCACACTTCAGAAGATTCGCTTCCGAAGAATTCCCCATATGCGAACGTAAAAAACCTTTTTAAATACCTCTTCTTCGCTTTTTTTATCTGCGTCTCGTTTCAAATCCCTCGCTCTCTCTTTCTCTCTCTCTCTCTATCGACAATGTGATGTAACGCAATAATGTGATTCTAACGTTCAAGTGGCCCGAGCCGTTATCACAAGGAACACCAAATGTTCCAATGATAAGCATAGATTTTCCGACAGAAGGTCGGTATTGATCCGCTTTCGTGTGTGTAGGAGTAGGGTTGAAATGAAGAGTACAATTAAAAGCCAAACAGTAGAATTCAGAATTATAAAAAAAAAAAAAAATAAAAAACAAGAGAACACATTCAAACGAGATGTGTGTCCGTACGAGTGTTCTTTGTCACTCATTCAACAAATTTTAATTGCACGCGCATAATGGATGACGCATTCGACTCACGCGTGACACTTTTTGCAAACATTGATATATTTACTTTTTTACGTGCAACGAACCTACGTAATTATATATTGTACGCTACGCAATTAATTTTGCAATCGTTTAGCGCGTGCTTGCGATTTATTTAATTAGCGATTATGTTTACCCGAACGCGTAATCGCGCAATTTTAGATCAAATTGACGAGAATCACACGCCCTAGAAGGGGAAGATCGTTTTTCCAGGGAAAACGGGATGGGTTACGCGAGTAACGCTCAATGAATCAATCGGAAAGATCGCGAGTAAATCCGCAAATATATCTCCGATCTGATAATTGATGCTTTCGCGGTGTGTGTGTGTGTGTGTTGTAAAAAATTCCCGAAGATATAGTTTTCGAATTTGTTATTTTTATCGGATATAAAATTGCGACGCTATAACGCTACTCAAATGCGAAAATCGCATCCTCAGAAATTCTTGTCTATCTCCGATAATATCGATAACATCCGCGAGTGTGAGAAGCACATACTTTTAGTACATGTCATATATAAGGTACTTGTGAGCTTCTTCATCGGCACGTTCGTCGGAAACGTGTGTGTGCATGTATCGTCACACGAGGCGCGAAAGAGATCGTGGCTCTTTTCTCTGTCTCTCCTTCTTGTTCGATAAAGGCGCGAGTAGATCGTGGTGTCCGGCCAGTTAGTTCTCGGACGTTCGATCGGTGAGCCGCGTGCCTCGCGCGGGATCTTATCGCTCGCCGCCGGTCACGCTGTTTCGGCTAATCGACTTTTCATTGTCGCGAGAAAAGAAAGAGAACGCGTTTTTCTTTTCCGAAGGAAAATTAATTTTCCTCAGGGGACAATTGCGATGGAAAATATCGATTCGTGAGAAAAAAATCTCGATGAAGTGTCTGGGGAAAAAAATTGGCACCGCTGGGCAACGTTAGCTGTATACGTGAGTGTGTTACACATACATAAAAGTCCGTCGCTCGTGCGCAACATCGACAAGCGGAATTTATCTATGAACTACGAAAGGTTACTTGTATATAAGTTCGCCCCTTCGCCTCTTATCGGAGTTCATCGAAGACATCACCTTCGAAAGCCGGAGACGAAGTAATGAGGATAAATTAAAACTCGAGAACCGCGCGCGCGGCACACAATGACAACGTTACCTGTCGCGCTTTACGATCCGCTTCGATCCGGTGATGAAGATGGAATTTTTACGGGTCAACGACCAAAATACACGACATCATCTCGGGCGATTTGATCTAATCGGGCGGCGATTTTTTTTTAAGTGATGTCTTCGCGTTGCCGAAACGAAATGTGATTTTTTTTTTTTTAGTAACAAATGCGACAACGTCTTCCGCGAGAGATGAGCGTGTTTTTTCTCCCTAAAAGATCAATCTCCCGTCGAAAATCGATCACATCTCGCGCCGAGCGAGAGTGAACGAACTCGACCAAGTCCCTCGCGAGCGATACTGTTTCACGTTGAAATCCGATCGACTTCCCTAACTATCTGATAACGTCTTCGTTTCTGACGCTCGTAGGTGTGTTTCGAGAGTTCCCAGGCAGGAATTTCCGGATGATTAAACCGACCGCCATCGAGCGCGTGCGTGATTGATGACACAGCGCGCATTCGGCGGCGGAGAGAAATCGTTGAAAAGTCTCGCGTCGCGCGCGAGAGCGTGTGATAAAAATAACGAACGACCAACGTCGGAGAATCCGATTGATCACTCGTCGTTAACTTCGATTCTGTTAATTCACGACGAACGAGCTCTTGTAATCCGATCTGACTAATTCTCACGAGCGGCCGATCGACGAGAAGCGGATTGGGATTCTTTTAACGAAGAATCAGTTAAACAAACAGCGGCCGCGCGTTACACGAAAGAGGAAGTTTATCGGCAAGAGACACTGTGCAAGCACACACTGAGGGTGTGACGTGATAAAATGTCCAGGATGCAATTACGATAACGAGACCGGCGGAAGACGACGAACGAAAAGTCTCGTCTGAATGTCATCATCGAGCGTCACTACGCGGATACCGATCGTATCCGGAAGAGCAAGATCGGAGGATTTGACTGTCAAGGCCAAAAGAATCGTACGGAATTCAGAAAGTTTGATCGTGTTTGCGGAGCGATCGATACGCGGAATTAATTGTTAGCTCGTGACGCGACATAAATCATAGTAGTGAGTTGTAGTCGATCGGTTACGTGTTTGATCGAGTTTATTTACTCTTCGATAAGACGCTCAACTATCCACGATGAGTTTTATTTGCATTCTTTTGATGTGTCTGACGGCGCCAATTGCGCGCGCGAGCGACGTGCCGCCCATCGTGCGCACTGTTCAACTGGTAAGCACACGTGAAATCTTTTCAGTTCATTCGTTAAATCATAAGCTTCACGTATATTTATTTTATTATGCCCGAAAGCAAATCTCACGGGCTGCTCGCGCTGTTCGCGCGTGGTTGTATTTTAAGCCGATTGAATAGCTTTCTTTGACACAGTCCAGATAATCCCGATTGAGAGCTGTCCGATATCACAGACGTCTGATTAGCGCGATCATTTGTAAAAAAAAAAAAATCCGTCCGCGAGAAAATAAAATTAATTCAACTCTGTTCGCGCAAATGCGTTTTTTGTGACCGAAGCACAATTTGCAGAACGAATTTGCACGAGCCAATTGTTGTTCTGTGCGTTATTTAAGAAAAAAAAAAAAATGAAAAAATCTTTGCTCGCGACACGAAGATCTCGAACATTCTCTTTGTCCGGTTTCTCGATCTCCGGAATCTCTCGGACAAGTTTTCACAAGTGACATGTTTTCGCGCTTCGTCAGCAGTTTATCGCCGTTTTTGCGTCACTTATCTATGCGCTCTTCATTCATATTCATGTTGTGTTGTGGTAGCTACGTTTTTTCGAATATTTCGGAATGTTTCGGTCTCCGATTATACCCCTCGAGTCATCGAGGAGAGATCGACGAGATTGCGGCAGTCGCTCGCAATAAATATTCTTTAATTCTGATTTCAGCAAAACTCAACCTTTCTCGTGCCGGAGGAATACAAACGACTGCCAGTAGTGGCGAAGTGTTGCTCCGTAAACGAGCAACTCGCGAAAGATAGCAACGGAAATACCGTGTGCGCTTCCTCGAACGATTCGACGGCGTATTTTTCGCCTTTCTTCAGCGATTTCAATCGCACCGGCATATTGTTGCCTGGTGACGAGTCGAAGGAATTTGTCGCCGTTGTGGGAAGTCCCTGCAATCGAAAGTACGTTTCATCGAAAGTACGATCGCGCGCGAAGATCGTTCGTGTTACAAGAATTTGAATCGTTGAATCTCTCTCGAACCGTGTCGGAGAAATTATCTTTTCGAAAATTGACACATTATATAATAAAAACTCTGACACAGACGCCTCGCGTATATATGTAGTATATATATATATATATATATATAACATACTGTCGGTGTCCTTATCGCGCCTCGATCGCGAAACGCCACTTCACGATAAGATTCCATTTTCATCGCGATGTAACAGAGCCATTAGCTTGTCGGTCCGAATTCCACAGTTCATTGATACAATCGCACGTTGTTATATATATACCTTTGGAAAATACAATAAAAATACAATAAAAATCAATTACACGGGATATCCATTTACGCGTTTCGCAAGAATCGCGAGAGTAACGGCGACATTTGTAAAAATCGCGAGAAAAAAATAATTTACACAATAGTTTTCCCTCGATCAAAGAAAGTTATTGTCAATGAATACTCAGTACCGATAACCGCACTCTCGATATAGCAATCCTGAGATATTTACGAGTTGTATTTGTATCGCGGAGCAAAGAGGCAGTCGTAATCATTGTATAAAGTAATTTACGTTATAAAAAGTCAATACGTGTGCACTCGTGATCCCATAGAACAGATAACGTATCGCCGCTAATTTATTGTTTTCTTAAGTAAAAAAAAAAAAAAAAAAGAATTGTATCGTGTCGCGATAATCGGCAGAAATGAAATCACAAAGTAATATAATAATTAATCCTGAACGGAACATTGCAGAAGACAAATGACATCGTCCCGTTATTGCTTGCGAACATCGATAAGGAACACACGGATGAAGATAATGTAATAATAATTTACGTGTGTGTATGTGCAATCGCGTAAGGAGTAAATTTAAGATCTGGAGAAGCAAAAGTAAACAAAAAGTTTTGCGAAACGATATTTTCGTCTTGCGCGATTGATAAATTGAATTCAAATCGACTCGAATGAGTAAGAGGAAATAAATAATAAGTTTGTTGTATTTATGACACGGTTCGACGGATATTCGATTCGATATTTCGGTAGATTTCTATCAAGTGTACAAAATGAATGCAATATTTCGAAAAACAACGTTCAATATATCTCGCATTGTGTGTTACGATAAATCTCTCTCTATATATACATAAAATGTTACTATCAATTTCCGCGATAATCGGACATCCTTGGACGGGAATTATTTCCTCGTGTGTAAACCCGCGTAACTCGTTTTTCCTTCAGACACTCGATTATCGAGAGAGAGAGAGAGAGAGACGTGTTTCTCGGAAAGATCGCATCACGATATTTAAACTTTATTTAAAATTGTAAATATTCACGATCTACGCACGTTTATTCTTAAGAGCTTTAAGTTTGCACATTTCTGTGTGCGCGTGTTTGACAAAAGAATTTTCAGGTACATGTTACACCCGGAGGAAAACAGCGAGGATGAATATTACTTGTTGCTGAACGGTTCGATCTTCGCGCCGCGACTCGATCACGTGCCGATTATGCTCACACCCGGTGAGGATTACTGCATGGAACTTGTGCCAGAACTGGGACTTCGGGTACTCGTTTGTTTTTCCGAAGGTGCGTACATTGTACGGCGAAGACTGAGATCTCTTTTCGCACTGTGTTAAAATATTTTTTATACAAAATATTTCATCTATATAAATTTAAAATATACTAATTTATAATACATAAAATGTATATTTTAAAATATTTTATATATAAATACATTCAATTACAATATTATTTATATATATACTTTTTTAAGATATTTAATATTCCAATTATTTGGGGATACTCTTTGTTCAGAAAAATCAGTTTTATATTATCAAATCGCTTATATATTTCACTAGCGCTTGGCTATTTTGACGTACTGAAGTGTGCGAGGCAATTCATACATAAAAAATCGATAAGCATCAGTAATATGTGTTTTTTTAAATTTAATAATCTTCCTTGATGCATTGTGGCAATTAACGATTACAGACACTGCCGTTACAATCGCGGATGCGCGGCTCATTATTTACGCATCCGGGCTCTTGATCTCGGTCCCATTTTTTATTCTAACAATTGTGGCGTACACGATAACGCCGCGATTGAGGGACGTTCTCGGAAGAGCCCTTTGCCATTACTGCGGCTGCCTGGCTGTTGCCTTTACCACTTTGGCCATTACGCAACTTGCGGGCGCGCAGTTGCCGTCTCAAGTCTGCGTTAGCATAGGTAAGATAATTAATTATTGACGATGGGGGCTTGTCGCGCGACATTGTCATGCAAAGAGATTTATTATAATTCTCTCTTCTATTACAAAGAGTTTTATAAAGTACATTAGTATACGATATTTGAATTATTTATTAGGAAAATGTTTTTTTCATTATAACTGTCATATCGATTCTTTCGAAAGACTTTGTTCAATTTTTAAAAATTAAATTATCTCTCCAAAAGAATTGCACAACTTTTTTTACGCATTCTTTGAGTTATTAGAGTCTTGTTAGACGTCGTAATTTCGACGACACATTTCACAGTGTTGTCGCAGTAAGTCATTTTTGGACGTATGACGACATACGAATGGAGAATAATGTGATTAAGAGACCGGCCGACGTGTCGTTTTCAGCATTCGTCATCCAGTTCTCGTTCGTGGCCTGTTTCTTTTGGCTGAACGTGATGTGTATCGAAACGTGGTCGTTAGTTTGTCACCATGTGAGCCATCGCTCGTACAGAAGAATCCAGTCCAAAACGTTGTTCTTCTATTACTCGATATGGGCCTGGGGCTCGTCGGCGATCCTTATTCTTGTCTCGATGGCGATGGATCTCAGTCCCACGATACCCATGACCTATGTCAAGCCCACTTTTGGTACCGAGAGCTGTTGGTTCAAGTGTGAGTCTCAATCTCCATTTAAAGGACTCTCATCTCATTATTATACAAACAGACTGTCATTTGCTTAAGCCTCATATAAGCTTTGTGTAAATTACTTTAAATGTATGTAACATGCATATAATATTATATAATATAAAATATTATATATAAAAAATATAAAAATATTATATAAAATATTATAATATTTACAATGTAATTACATACATATAATGCAATTCAATCACAGTCTTTGGTTATAGAATAACTCTGATCACTTCATGTTATGAAAAATCATTGTAACTAATCATGATAGCTAATATTTTCTATCAGTATCGAAATATCTGGAAATCTTTGATGAAGATACGTATATTCAATATAGCTCTTTCCTGTGTAGCCGACGCAGAAGCCATGCCGTATTTCTACGTGCCCGTCGGTCTTCTTCTGCTGATGAACACGATTCTCTTCATACTAACGGCCGTCAAGATCAGCCGTTATCAGCAGGAACAACTCGCGCTGAGACAGATGTCGAGGAATCAGCACTCCGACCGGGATCAGAGACTCTTCCGCAGGCTCACGCGAACTTTCATCGTCTGCCTCGTGCTCTTCTTCCTGATGGGTCTCAACTGGACGATGGAGCTGATCTCCTGGTTTGCCGGAGGCGATCCTCTGGACTGGTCGGCGTTCGATCTGATCAATGCCCTCCAAGGCGTCCTAATCTTCGGCCTGTTTGTTATCAGAAGGCCGCCCAGGGATTTTATCTGGCATCGGATACAAAAGCTACGTGGGATTCACACCACGGAACCGGACGTTGGTAGTATGGACTTGGCGCTATTGCCTGTGATAAACGCCGATTCCTTGCCCAGACAAACAGTCGTTCAGTGATAATTTTACGATGTAATCGGATTTTCTTTTTGGACTTTTGATATAAAACGCGACGCATTGATCGGGAATGCTATCGGTCGCGAACTTGAAACGATATACTGATAATGGCCCGGTGGAAGGAGAGGTACGGTCTCACGAGATGAGGTAGAAGTTATTTTAACTTTACTGTATATAGAGATTATATATACCTATATATGAATATGCGAAGTCGAAGTAGAACGACCTTGGCGATGAGTGACGTTCGAACTTCGAAGAGACGTGAAATATCACGATGTTATTTGCGACGTGATTTCTCTATCGCGAAAGCCACTCGAAACCCACCTAAACTAGTTCCGGCATTGATCCTGCGCGCGCAATCTTCTTTCTCGCTTTTGAAAGAGATTTTATTTCATTTCAATCGCGCGCGTTTGCTGATAATAACAGCTCTAGTCGTTTTTTTTTTTTTCAAAATAAATCTATAAATAGAAATAACAATTGTACAGTGCGCGCGCACATTGATAAGAGCAGCATGTTATCCAACGAAAGAATCTTACGTTGAAGTAAATATATGCAAAATCGCGCGTATCGCGACTTATCGCGCAATGTTGCATGTGAAAATGAAATTTTTCTTGCAGTGTAATACTTTACGTAATACGCAACTGGTCTTCTCCGGTAAACAATGCGCGCTAATGTCGCGATATTCGTGCGGTAATTGTACAATCGTGAGAAAATGAACAATGGACAACCTTACTCAAGGATCTCAAGTGTGATAAGTACGTACTTGACATAATTACATAACTCTACATGTAAGACTAGGCTACGCAAATTCACTTCAAGTCTGAGAGAAGGGAGAAAAATAACTATTATAATATACAATAACATAATTTGTGACACGTGGTGCGACAATAAGAGTTTTACCGTTTTTTGTTTTTTTCCAAGTCGATGTTCACGTCGATGAATATGATGTATGTACAGTGCGGAGCACCATATCGTGCGCCGTGAGGAGAAGTAGTTCTCCTCCGGCCGCCTCCTACTAGCACGCGCCAGCGGCCCGAGATTTAATCCCATATGTACCGGCACGGTTACCGATGATACATACCGACGCG